TTTTTTGACAGGATCTTGCTCTGTCCCCCAGGCTGGAATGCAGTGGTGCAATCAAAGCTCACTGTGGCCTTGAACTCCTGGGCTTGAGCAGTCTTTCCAACTCAACTTCACAAATAGCTGGAACGACAGGTACGCACCACATACCTGACTAATTTTTAAAATTTTTTTGCCGCGTGCAGTGGCTCACACCTGTAATCCTAGCACTTGGGGGGCTCAGGTGGGCAGATCACAAGGTCAAGAGATCGAGACCATCCTGGCTGACATGGTGAAACCCCATCCCTACTAAAAATACAAAAATTAGCTGGGAGTAGTAGCGTGTGCCTGTAATTCCAGCTACTCGGGAGGCTGAGGCAGGAGAATCACTTGAACCCGGGAGGCAGAGGTTACAGTGAGCCAAGATCACGCCACTGCGCTCCAGCCTGGCAACAGAGGAAGACTCAAATCTCAAAAAAATTTTTTGTAGAGATGAAGTCTCACTATGTTGTACAGGCTGGTCTTGAACTCCTGTGCTCAAGTGATCTGTCTACCTTGGCCTCCCAAAGTGCTGGGATTACAGGTGTGAGCCATCGTACCTGGTCTAGCTATTTGTCTTTTTTTTTTTTTCTTGGAGACACAGTCTCCTTCTGTTGCCCAGGCTGGAGTGTAGTGGCGCAACCTTGGCTCACCGTAACCTCTACCTCCTGGGTTCAAGCGATTCTCTTGCCTCAGCCTCCCAAGTAGCTGGGACTACAGGCTTGCACCACCATGCCCAGCTAATTTTTTTTATTTTTAGTAGAGACGGGGTTTCACTGTCTTAGCCAGGATAGTCTCAATCTCTTGACCTCCTGATCTGCCCTGTCTGTCCTCCCACAATGCTGGAATTACAGGCGTGAGCCACAGCACCCAGCCTAGGTGTTTGTCTTTAAAAAGACAAGAGGCCAGAAAAACGACTTTAAAATGATCTGAACTCTGTTTGTTTTTTTTTTTGAGGGAGTCTTTCCTCCAGGCTGCAGTGAATGCAGTGGTTCGATCTCTGCTCACTGTAACCCCCGCCTCCCAGGTTCAAGTGATTCCCCTGCTTCACCCTCCTGAGTAGCTGAGATTACAGGTGTGCACCACTGCGTCCATCTAATTTTCATATTTTTAGTAGAGATGGGGTTTCTGTTTTTTCTTTTGTGTGTGGGTGTGTGTTCTTTTTATTTTTGACACAGGGTTTCACCATGTTGGCCAGGCTAGTCTTGAACTCCTGACCTCAGCTGATACACCCACTTTGACCTTCCATAGTGTTGGGATTACAGGCGTGAGCCACCGTGTCCGGCCGATCAGAACTCTTAAAAGCAGATGACTATTTAAAAATGAAATTATTGCCAGGCGTGGAGGCTCACGCCTGTAAGCCAAGCACTTTGGAGGCCAAGGTGGGCAGATC